TTTGCTTGTGGTCTTGCTGGTTTGGCTATATCTAGTTTGATTACGATTCGGCGAGCCTGTCGCAACACGCCTGCCATGCGCACAGGCACTAAAAAAAACACACACGCTTGATTACATCTGACAGGTAGAGGCTCTCGCATATCATATAAATCTACCTCATGTCATTCTCTCACCTGTGGCCTGAAATTAATGTCATTTATGGAGTGCGTGTGTGTGTGTGTGGACGTGTGGGTGAGTGTGTGTTAGGCTGCAGTGGCGATGCATGTTGGCGGCTTCATTCACATTTTCTCTTCAACGTTCATTCATCACGATTTGCTCTCCCGCTACGTGCCATGCTCCCTGTCGTCTCACCCCTCCCTTCCTCCCTGGCTTCCTGTCTCCATCTCCATCTCTATTTCCGTTTTTCATTTTCATTACATTTGAGATGTGTCATTTTCATGACTGTTTCATTTATGGTGCTTTGCAAAGGCACTGCATCATTATTACGACTGTCTTAGGAATTTGAATAAACTCATAATTGATGGTTGACGCTAATATTTAGAGAACAAAGTGGTTTACAGCAGGGTTATATATGTATTACATATATATTATATATATTACATATATATATTATATATATATATATATATATATAGCCAAAACTAACACTAAAACCATAAAAAATTATTTTCATTAACTAAGATAGATTTGAGCTGAAATTAAGTGATTCAAAAATACATTTTTATTTAGTTTAACTTGTTGTACTAAAATAACTAAAACTGAAAAAAAAAGTATAAAAACTAAATAGACACATAAAAAATAAACACAAAAACACAACAAAATTACTAAAACTTTAAATAATATTAAAATGGAAAATATAAAAATAAAAACTAATTCAAAATATTAATAAAAGCTATAATAGCATCTCAAAGATACTGAAATAACACTGTTTTACAATATAAAATACATGTTTTATGACAGCAAATACAATATACACAAAACTGCTTAATTTAAATGTATTTTATCCAATATTTAATTGAAATTCTCTTGGAGATGTGCATTATTCGTTATCAAGCCACAAAAAAGCTTAAGCTTATGCTTCTTCCTCCTTTTTGGACATGTATAAGTTAATAATTTACTATTATTAATTATTAAATTATTAAATTAAATTATAAATTATAATTAC